AAAGATTGAAGTGATTTTCAATGTACTTTTCTTTCAAGTATCATTTATTGTTATTTTTATTATTATCATTTTTTGACGATTTTTTAAAAAAATTTTTTATTGCTGTTCTTGATCGAAATGCTTATGTGATTTTCATTCAACGAACCTTAACCAGTAGAGATCGCAAATAACAAAATACCCTACGCTGAAATTTGAACTAGTATTGCGTTGTCTTGGGAGTCTAAGTGGACAATGTTTTATCAATTAGAACATATAAACTCATCAGCAAATACAAACCAAATTTTAGTCATTCTTAGCTACATCTTCCTTATCAATTGTTAATCCACGTCACATTAGTTAAACTAGAAATTGTAACGGTGTTGATATGTTGAGGTTGATGTTAATGACAGAAATTTAAATGCATAAAACGTACAACGATAACAATAAGACATTGTATTGACATTAATAACAAGAATGTGTATTTTTCTTTTTTCATGCGAATTACAGATATTGGTATGGTGTGTGTTAAAAAAGTTCTCGTGTTACTGTCTTTTTTATCCTTTAAAGTTTTTGCTAACTTTTTTTTTCTTGTTCCGACAATTTAACTGTTTGAGATCTTCAGTTTGAGATCTTCAGTTTTCGATTTTCCGGAGCGATGGCGATATATTTGTGTTCATTTTACTACAGTTCTTGCTACTTGCTACTCTACTGACTCTACTCTACTGACTGCCTTCGCTTGGAGTGGAAGGCTCGCTTTTATAATCATATTTTAGAATGATGAAATATCTTTCTCATCTTTTATTACTGGTGGCAAGATTGTTTTTAGGATGATGGATTTTTTAAAATCTTTATTTCAGGGATGATGAAATATCCTTATTTTCTATCATCGCTGATGGTAAGGTTATTTTTAGAATAATGAAATATCATCAACATTCGGGATCATAACAAAATTATCCTTATTTTATGATTTAGATTATTTATTTCAATATTTGAATTGAATGAAGATTGATTCAACGAAGGAGAAGGGAAGTGCCCGATGGTAGATTCGTCATTAGAGTGATTACTTTTGATGTCTCAAACGTTTTGACAAGATATGGAATAGAGTTTTGTGACACAAGGCTGACATAATATTAGAAAAATTGGCTGAAAATATGGAAGAAACCTTAAACATCAAAAGTGAAACGTCTAATTTGGGCGAATAAATATATGAAAACAACAATTTTTAATGATAAATGTACAGCTATATTAGATGGGAGTGAGGGTTGAGTTGCAGTGTTTCCCAAACGGTGCAGTGCACCTCATAGCTGTGGCGGAAGAAGATAGTAGTAGGCGAGGCGGAATGATAGAAAGACTATCACAAAATTAGAAACAGTTTTAAAAAAATTCATATGCTCAAAATAAATATGATTTCAAGATTTAAAATACTATTATGGATTTAAAATATTATTATGGATTGCATGCATGAGTCACAGTATAAATAGTTGTGATTAATTATTGACCGATTTTATCATTGTGATATTTTGCATTATATCAAGTATTAAGAATATAGTAGCTAGGGTCTGCAAATTGGAAGAGAGAGTTATCAGTGATAATGTTCTGACTTCGAATACGCGGTTATCTCCCTTTAACTCTCTCTCTGTTCTTTTTTTTTTATTTTCTCAGTTTTAAATGTACTTTTTATCATATAAAATTTGGTGAGGCCCGAGCGAATTTTCATTCTGAAAATGCGACCCACAGAAAAAGGTTTGGGAACCTCGAGGTTAGAGGCTGGTATGCAAGACATCCCGGTTGGCATTCTGCAAGTATCCAACTTGCTAAAAAATGGTTTTCAGTATATCAATTTAAGGAGATTACAATCATTCTTTCTAGATATTAAACCCGTTGAAATTTTTCAGTCCATCATTAATATGGACGAATAATATGAATTACAGAAAAACATATTCAAACGAAAAAGATCTCTGGGAAGCATTAAAAATTTTAAAGACAAAAGTAAAAAAAAAAGAAAAGAAAAAGTGAATTATATTGTTGAAAGACTGTTGAAGGTAAAAGAATGTAAATATGTACATATTAAAGATTTAAATAATAAAATTATAATTTATGCATATATATGGGACATTGTATCATTAAAACAAATTTCAATAGTAAATATCTTGGATTTGGTTCAAATAAATATATCGTGTAGTTTGCCTACCAACCGCAAAGCAAGCACAAGTTATTTTTTTAAATCATTTCGCCCCAAGCAAGGTTTTACTGCCACAAAGACGCAAAGGGTTAATGGGAGTCAAAGAGAATGAGAATACTTTATTTGGGGAGAAAGGACAATAAAAGAACGGATTTCAGAAGTACAGAACATAGACACCGAGTCCATGAATGTGAATACTAGCCAGGAACAGAGAATTCAGTGATAGAGACTTAAGAGTTTAGCTTAGTTTCACAGAGAGCTAAGATACCTGGAGAATGTTCCAAAAGAAACGATTCTACACTGGACAAATTGGTACGGGTACAACGAATGTTGGAGAAGGAAAAGTTGAGTCGCTTCTGCGTTTTTTTTTTTTTTTTTTTGTTTTCCAAACTGGTTTACTTTTATTTTATTTATTCTCTGAAGTCATAAAAAACTTTTACTGTAGAAGAGGACCATAATAATAGTCACTACCGATCGCTTAAAGCAATACAAGAGGGCCGAAAGCGTAATGTGGTCACGGGGTTGCACCCCCAAAAGTGCTTTCAGGGACAGCTATGCATGCGCAACACGGCATTGCAAGAAAACTGGTATTATACGGCTGTGGACTCAGAGAATTATCAAAATGTCCGGGCTCATCGTTACCAGTCGAGATGCAGCAACCAGAAAACTGCCAACCCGGTAACCACAAGATGAAGAGACGCAGCCTCCAAGCAAACATATCGCCAAAATGTCATGACAGCTCCTCTTATTAAGATCTCAGGAGATGGAACCGGAAACCCAATCCTAAATAGGAAACGAGTGGGAAACATATACTCCTGTTCAAAATACGGGAAGGAGTGTGAACCGGGTTGTAGTCGAACCTATCTACACCTATTAAAAAAATTAAATTAAAAAAATAAAAATTGAAAGATTAATTCATATATATATATATATATATATATATATTTAAAAATTATAACATAAATATGTTATAAAATCACTACAAAAAATTGCTCTACACTGTATTGAGCACTCTTTTAAGAATAGTAATTGTTGGTTATTGGAATTTATTCCGTATACACCAATCATATACTTGGATATATATATATATATATATATATATATATATATATATATATATATATATATATGATTAATATAGTAAGATTTGTCACTTAGCTGATTGATGTTACCTTCAGTATCCCGACTCTAGAGTTTCGTAGACGCACCTGTCCGTCCACTCTTGTAATCACGGTTTCGGAGTGTAGGCGTAGACGTTAGAAGTATTAAGAGTTAAACTAAAAGCACGTGCGATTCAAATGCATGTATTCAGGTAGAGACAGTTAATTATGTAACCACTATTCCTTAATGCATTTTAACTCTCCTTATTTACATTTTAACATAGTCTAAGTTACATTGTATCCTAAAAATAAAGAAAGGCGAGGGAAAACTAATCTATCATTATTACAAGCAATTTATTTTATTTTAAAACACTAGGGAGAGAAAAAGTTAAGAGAATTAATTACATCACACACACATACATATATATATATATATATATATATATATATATATATATATATAGAGAGAGAGAGAGAGAGAGAGAGAGATATGCACATCAATACACAACTAAATTATATAAACAAATAAACAATGAAGCAAAAGAAAGGAAAAAAAATTCAACCAACATTCACTTTAGTTGAAACATACTGTTTAATAATTAAACGGATGGCCTACACAAATACGAGTAAAAGTAACGCTTAAAGTGATACAAATCTATCGGATTAATAAAAATCCATTCTAAAAAAATCTTTGTTTTCGTTTGACTTAGCGTAACCATCTTGTTCCTTCGTGGCTAAGCGGTAAGGCGCGCCGAATTAAACTGTCCTGAGCGATACCGGTTCGGTTCTAATAAGATTTCTCAAAATATTCGAGCCGGTTGGGGAAAATAAATAAATCTGCTGTTTAATAAATAAATGGAAAGCTTTCTCAAATACAACTATCCACTAAAAAGAGCGTTTAAAGTGATACAAATCTCTCGGATTAATAAAAATCAATTCTAAAATTAGTAATTATATATATATATATATATATATATATATATATATATATATATATATATATATATATATATATATATATATATATATATATATATATATATATATATATATATATGTGTGTGCAAATAAGTATGCCAGCCTCACCAATAATCGGTTTTGAATTCTCCTAGTTAGGTTGTTTATCGGTGCTAGAGAGTCCAGTCTGTCATGTTACTTAACCGCTAGGGGCACCTCGAGGTGGTGCAGTGGTTAGCAACCTTGTCTCGCTAGAACAGTTACGACTGAGTATTGAGTTCGATCCTCACTTTAGGCCTTGTGCCACATCTAAGCTACGCTTGGAAAACCAGTACTTAACCGCTATCTGGCGGGAGAGTTGGATCCATAAACATTCCCAAGGGTATTTTTGTGAAACTAACCACATCGAACCTGGTCGCTATCGGAACCCAGCACGCTGATTCGACTTTTCGCGGCGATAACCGCTACGCTACGCACATAACTTACCTTTACATATATTTGATCTTTCGGGCCATTTTCTTGGTTTCTGCTATTTTACATATAAATTGTCTAATGACTGAGTACTTTCGGCTTTCGATTAGCTTTTCTTTATTTTATTTATTTATTTATTTATTGCTGTCAGTTTCATCATTATTCCAATATCCCGTCTACATATCGGGTTTTAAAATATCGCACGTTCATATGACAGTTGGTTTTGTATCTATTATCATTATTATTGTTATTATCATTATTAATGCAATATATTTGGTATATTTATTGGTATATAACAAAGCTGTTACAAAATGTTTCTGTATTCTAGTCTGTCACTGAACTTGATTCATATTTTGAGATTTGTAACACTTCTTAACTTCAAATTTCTAAACGCAGCTATCTATCTATCTATCTATCTATCTATCTATCTATCTATCTATCTATCTATCTATCTATCTATCCCAGTCTCTTCATTTCCTATCTCTCTCTCTCTCTCTCTCTATCTAGCTAGTTAGTTTGCACCTATCTATCTTTCTATTTAGCTAGTTTAAAAAATGAAACAAAAGAAGTTTGAAAGTGTTCATGAGTAAATTCAACTGATGTTCCGTAAATTACAAATTCTATCCAAATTTAACGGAAGAATTTGTGAAACTGCTTGAAGACATTTTATAAGCAATCTTTAAATGAATCAATATTTCCTTATTCCTCGAGCAACATTCCTGAGTACAAAAAATACTATATATCAAAAAGAAAGCCTGACTTTTCTCAGTTAATTTTAATTTTGTTCAATGTGCTTACACTTTAATTCGCTTATTTCTTAATTCTGTTTATTTAAAAGAGGTGCGTGGGATTTTTATCGCATCTTTCCTTTTCAAATTGAAATATTTGTTCAGTTATTTACTAAACCACGAAGTGCAAGTGTTTACATCGTGGTAGAAAGCTTCTAACAATACAGATGTAACCGCTGATCGAGTAAAAAAAAATGCTTAACGTGTGCACTAAGTAACTTTTAATTATAGACCTTCTTTGTTTATCGAAGCATCTTCTCGTCCCATCCAATAGAATTCTAGTAATTATCCGATTTTGTACTTACAATCTACACAGCTTGATTACTTCAATTACTTTGTCAATTCTCGCTGCATAGTTGATTATTAAGCATTATTTTACGGTTGATTATTGTAGCAGGATTTTTGAAATCTTCAGGTAGCAATCGGAAGGAAAAAGCTTAGTACATTTTTATTTATTTCTTGGGATCCAGTTTTAGCTAGTTAGTTAAATAAATTAGAAAATGTTTGATTACCATTCGATCCTTTGTGTTAAATTAGAGAAAGAAAGGTTAGATACATGACGCCATTTTTACTTTTCTTTTTTTCTTAATCTGGGCCATAGAAAGCTGAACATAGACACTGCAACAATAGCTCGCACAAACACACAATCACGCACACACTAGAATCTCTCTACACCCCCTTATATATATATATATGTTATAAATCATTTGATTTAAAATATGATCTTTTTCGCTACACAGTTCTATCCATGTTTCAAAAATGGAAGCTGAAAGCTCCGAATTTAATTTTGTAATTAAATTAAAGACATTAGTTCCATTTCATCCTCAAGCGAATTTTTTAAATTTTAAAAGAGGTGCGTGTGATTTTTAGTAATTGTTGGTTATTGGAATTCATTCCGTATACACACCAATATATACTTTATATATATATATATATATATATATATATATATATATATATATATATATATATATATATATATATATATATATATATACACAAGTAGATGCAGAGTGTGGAAGAATTAGAAATAGAAACAATTATGATGAGTAGAAAGAAAAGAGCATTCAGGAAGACAGGAGATGGCGATTGACATTGCATTTACATTTTTGCAGATTAAAGTTTGGCTGGAAATATCAGCAGAGAACATAAGCCTGAAAAGTCTCAACGAATCAGTTTCCTGGAGGTTAGCATCAGCCATGGTGATGGAAGGTAGCGAGTGGTCTCTCAGATGTATAATGGAGAAAAGTTTAGTTTTGGAGGCGTTAAAATTAACACGCCATCTTTTGCTCCGGTTAACGACGGACTTAATGTTTTGGATATTGTCTCCCATTTTGACCTTGTCGGACAGGAGTAAATGATTGTGTCATCAGCGTAGATACTAAGTTGAGAGCTGATGTCATGAGGAAAGCCATTGATGAAAATTAAAAAACAAAGTAGGACCAAGCATGGAGCCCTGAGGGACAACTGCGTTAATAGGAAAGGATCTAGACAAATGGCCGTTCAGAATAACTCACATTTCACGATTTGATTAGAGACGCCGTAACTTTCCAGATTATGGAGAAGACCTGAAAGCCAGACCCTGTCAAAGGCTTTCGAGATGTCAATTGCTACAGCCTGGGCTTTACCGTTTTTATCTAGATCATGATAGACTCTTTACGCAATTATCGTCAGTATATCAGCAGTTGACCTGGAGAAAAGCCATATTGCTTGTCTGAGAAAAGGCTCTGCGACGAAAGATGATTAACCAATTAAGCATTGATTAGGTACTGTAGGAGTTTCCCAAAGAGAGGTAGAAGCCTAATAGGCCGATAGTTGGAAGTTTCATACAGCGCAACAGAGTTCTTAAAAACTGGAACACCTCATGACTTCCAGCAGGCAGGAAAGAAGGAGGCAGCAAGGCATTTATATCAAAATTAAGATAAAAGGAAAACTTATCTTAGCCGACGCGTTTGGTCCTCTGATTGACTTTATCAAGGTAAATGTAAGGACTTTATTTTAAAAGCATATATATATATATATATATATATATATTATATATTTATAAGCAGAATATATATATATATATATATATATATATTGAATATTTATTACCGTGATATATTTTAGCAACATTTACATAACTTGAAGCAAACTTATTGCAAATTCTTCAAATAAACTAAAATACCTATCTTTCTTTTTATCAAGAAATATTCTTTAAGAAATATCACTATTTTACTATGTATTGCAAATCAAATTAGCACATTTCAACACAACCGTAGAAAAAAAAAAAACAGATTATTATCACGAGCATTATTTATGAAAATAAAGCAATCAAAATAAATATGGCGATTTCCTAAGCATAGCTTAGATGTGGCACAAAAACGAAAGTATAGGGGCATCCAGCCGAGGAAGAAAAATTTAAATCACTGATTTATAAAAAATTGAGGGGGCCTAGGTTGCTGCCCAGGCACTATATATATATATATATATTAGTTTCGTTAATAATGACCTCCCAGGTACTGCGGTTAAGTTTTTATTTACTTTTTATTTAAAAAATTAACTGCAATACCTTAAAACGTATAAACGTGGGATTGCTTCCTAAACTCACACACACACACACACACACACACACACACACACACACACAGAATGAGAATTGAGGTTAAGTCTCTGCAGCGACTCTGCTTCATGCTTAAACCCATGACTGTTGTATATTGGATTACCCATAATGCACTATTGACCAGCATATATAAATAGTTGAGCCAAAACAACACACATGGCCTGAAGATTGTGTTTAAGCATGAAACACACTGTCACCGCATGGTTTTGACCTCAGTGTACACATTTATATTTACATTCGCTCTATCTGTGATACTGAGCTCTTTAGCCCATTACATACATTAAAACGATATTTTATCATATATATATATATATATATATATATATATATATATAACGTGTTCGTTATATTAACTTACGCGCAAATATAACTGGAAACGAATCAATATTTTATTCTCAGATAACTAATTAGTACGCTTTCAATTAGTAAATCATTATCTCCAAATAATTTATAATGTAAAAATAGTTTAAATGACCTGCAAATGGTTGATAAAACTTAAAAACAACAAATCAATCAATCTGTATAGATGTATATATAGATATATTAAACATAATATTTTAGTCAGTAATTATTCATTTAAACATGTTCCCTTAAACAGAGAATATCTATTGAGCGTTTGGTGAGATTCTCGTTGTGTCGAATTGTTGGCAATTTGCTAAAATTAAATGTTAATGTTTTTTCCAGCATCGTTTGTCGTTTTCAAGGAAAGAGGATTCAAAGTCCCAAAATAGCCAGTATTCAATTAGTATTGCTGTCAATTTGAAATTGAAATGAACGTGTTTTCGCATGTTATGACTAAGAAATAAAACATGGCAAATTTGACTTTTCAGTATAAAAACATTTTAGAACGTGAGCACCTTGATTGAATTTTTTTTTATTAATATTGATTTTCTTTCTTTTAATTTAAAATGCTTCCAGAATTTGTAATCGTCTTTTGGAGTTAGAGTCGTAAAGAACTATTTCATTATCGAGCAGGATCTCACGAAAATTAGCAGAGTCGCCGTGTTATGTTTGCGCATTGCACTTTGCTCAATCTTCTAGAGAGCAATGCTATTGTGTAACAAGTGTATTGATGTTATTTATTATAAGCAGAGACATGTTCTTCTAAAACCTGACTAATTAACTGATCTTACTGTAACGAGGTAGACTCCAAATACATGAAGATAAAAACAATGAAAATCCATCGATATATAATTTTGCTAACAGTAATAGACATATAAGATTCATTATATACTCATTTGCACCAAAATTTACATGCACATCCTCCAAGTTAGCGGGAAGGCCAAGACCGACTTTGCATTTCCCAACTCCCATTGACAGTGGAAATAATGGATTTTTCATGCTTCTACGGCAGTTTTCATTTAGTTTGCGGCCATTTTCTACTGGCCAGAGTGAGAGCCAATAGCTGGCTGCCACGAATAGGCAGGAAGATTCTATTGGCCAGCGTGAGAGCCAACAGCTGACTGACACGAATGTAAAAAAAATATTTCGATAGCTGCGTTCGTCACAAGTGGGAAACATTTAAATCTGCATGGCACTTTACTCCAATTCACTCATTCGCATGCTTAAACTCAACGTTGATTCTGATTTCGCAGAACTGGGTTGGGTGTGAAAAAAGTATTTGTTGTTAACATTCTTTTTTCATTCGGTTTTTCCAGTTACGAGTCCTTTTTTTAAAGCTGATCGTTTTGTGTTCATTTTGTTTAGTTCTTTTTTAGTAACAGATTTAATGTTTAGTATAGAGCTTAGAAAAAATTCGCAGTGTGAGATAGGCAAGAAGTAAGGCATGTAGCAACATCAGCACGGCAAAGGGTACTCCTTTAAAGGCAAGGAAGGGCAAAAATATTTTAAGTCAAGTGATAGCGATTGCTGTATGAGTCGTAGGATTTTTTTTAATCAAGCACGGGCAACGCCGGGCCATGCTGCTAGTACCGAAATAAATTAGTCTTGTTTTTAATAATTTCACCCCTGAAGCAATGCAATAAAGCCAGTGAGACGTAAACGGTTACTGAATGTGAAAGAATATGAGAAAAAGAAAAAAAAACATTATTAAATATTATTCTCTTATTTTATATTTGAATAGGAACTCTTTCATGTTCTAAAACCATCAACTGTCTTTT